GTCACATGATTTCATCGTCTACCTGTCCTCATCATAGGTAGAGGTTGTTTTGATAAAGACCTGCCTCCCATGAGCCAGTAGGCCTTCTACAGTGTTCCTCCATTCTTATGTTCTTATGACATTCCTCAGGTCACGTGCGTCACATCTCACTCTCCGCCTATATATATAATGTCTTTCTACCTCTGTATGTTAGAAGTGATCAAGGTCCCAGGACCGAAACGTTTTCTAATAAATATGTTATAGTGTTTGCTTACGTGTCTTTCTAAACCAACTTGTCGGTATTTATTACCAAGTTTTATACCATGCTCAGTTGTACCACAGCGAAAGAGGAAACTCATTTTCCCATGTCTCAAAGAATAAGTAAATAAGTTTATTCAGATATACACACCAAAATTCTTACTGTCAAGAGACTAAGTCAACCAAGTTGACAGTTTATTTTAGAATTTTTATTGGGAAGTAAAATGCCTGCACTTTAAAGGAGGGGTTTGGGATATTGGCAGTTTGGAGGGATGTTATATATCTTTATATATGCTTCTAAACCTAGGTAGTAGGTTGGTAGACAACAACTGCCCAGGGAGGTACTACCGTCCTGCCGAGTGAATGTAAAACGAAAACCTGTAATTGTTTTACATGATGGTAGGATTGCTGGTGTCTTTTTATCTGTCTCATAAACATGCAAGATTTCAGGTACGTCTTGTTACTGCTACTTACACTTAGGTCACACTTCACATGCATGTACAAGCATATATATACACACCACTCTGGGTTTTCTTCTATTTTCTTACTAGTTCTTGTTCTTATTTCCTCTTATCTCCATGGGGGAGTGGAACAGAATTCTTCCTCCGTAAGACACGCATGTCGTAAGAGGCGACATAAATGCCGGGAGCAAGGGGCTAGTAACCCCTTCTCCTGTATATATTACTAAATTTAAAAAGAGAAACTTTTGTTTTTCTTTTTGGGCCACCCTGCCTTGGTGGGATACGGCTGGTTTGTTGAAAAAAAAAAGTTTCAAAACTGTTGTATCTGGGCAACTCTGCAAAAACAGTGATATGTATGAGTGAGGTGAAAGTGTTGAATGATGATGAAAGTATTTTCTTTTCAGGGATTTTCTTTCTTTTTGGGTCACTCTGCCTCAGTGGGAGACGGCTGACTTGTTGGGGAAAAAAAAAAACTAGGATAACCCAAAAAGTCAAAGTGACTTATTTCCATGTGGGTGGTAGGGAAGACAGCATGGTTGGTAGGGAAGACAGCATGGTTGGTGGGGAAGATAGCATGGTTGGTGGAGAAGATAGCATGGTTGGTGGGGAAGATAGCATGGCTGGTGGGGAAGACAGCATGGTTGGTGAGGAAGATAGCATGGTTGGTGAGGAAGACAGCATGGTTGATGGGGAAGACAGTATGGTTGGTGGGGAAGACAGCATGGTTGGTGGAGAAGATAGCATGGTTGGTGGGGAAGACAGCATGGCTGGTGAGGAAGATAGCGTGGTTGGTGGGGAAGTTGGTATGGGTAATGGGTAATGTTACAATTGGGATGGATAATATACATGTGGCAGCAGGCGGTGGTGTAATGCATCATGTAGCACCAGAAGCACCCAAGGCTGGAAGCCATGCAACTGACTCAGCACATCCACAACAAAGGCCACCTTCAAGCACGCACACACAACAACAACCAGCACAACCACAACCACAACAACCCACCCACAAAAATGCAGACACACTTGTTTTATGTGTGAGGAGTGTAAAACAGCACTGTGCATAACACTATGTTTCAAAGAGTCCCACAAACTGCAACACTTCTAGGAATGCGTCCAGTGACTCTATATGTGTATATATATTACACATAGAGGTAATATATATACACATACAGTAGTAGGTTGGTAGACAGCAACCACCCAGGGAAGTACTACCGTCCTGCCAAATGACTGTGAAACAGAAACCTGTAACTGTTTTGCATGATGGTAGGATTGCTGGTTTCTTTTTCTGTCTCATAAACATGCTAGATAACAGGGATATCTTGCTACTCCTACTTACACTTTGGTCACACTTCACAGACACGCACATGCATATATATATATACATACATCTAGATTTTTCTCCTTTTTCTAAATAGCTCTTGTTCTTCTTTATTTCTTCTATTGTCCATGGGGAAGTGGAAAAGAATCTTTTCTCCGTAAGCCATGCATGTCGTACGAAGCGACTAAAATGCCGGGAGCAATGGGCTAGTAACCCCTTCTCCTGTAGTCATTTACTAAAAAAGAGAAGAAGAAAAACTTTATAAAACTGGGATGCTTGAATGTGCGTGGATGTAGTGCGGATGACAAGAAACAGATGACTGCTGATGTTATGAATGAAAAGAAGTTGGATGTCCTGGCCCTAAGCGAAACAAAGCTGAAGGGGGTAGGGGAGTTTCGGTGGGGGGAAATAAATGGGATTAAATCTGGAGTATCTGAGAGAGTTAGAGCAAAGGAAGGGGTAGCAGTAATATTGAAGGATCAGTTATGGAAGGAGAAAAGAGAATATGAATGTGTAAATTCAAGAATTATGTGGATTAAAGTAAAGGTTGGATGCGAAAAGTGGGTCATAATAAGCGTGTATGCACCTGGAAAAGAGAGGAATGTAGAGGAGAGAGAGAGATTTTGGGAGATGTTAAGTGAATGTATAGAAGCCTTTGAACCAAGTGAGAGAGTAATTGTGGTAGGGGACCTGAATGCTAAAGTAGGAGAAACTTTTAGAGGGTGTGGTAGGTAAGTTTGGGGTGCCAGGTGTAAATGATAATGGGAGCCCTTTGATTGAACTTTGTATAGAAAGGGGTTTAGTTATAGGTAATACATATTTTTAGAAAAAGAGGATAAATAAGTATACAAGATATGATGTAAACCATACCCCGGCTGGGATTGAACCCGCGGTCAGAGAGTCTCAAAACTCCAGCGTTAGCCACTAGACCAGCTAGCCACAATAAGATTCGTCATGTTGACGGCAGTTAAGGGACTTGAGCTAGAGTTCGTCACGGTCATGCTAGCTGGAGATTCATCTATAAAAACTTGCATTTGTGGTCACAGTGGTGCCTGTGCTAACCTTCCTATGGTGTAGAAATATACCTAGTTGGACGAATCTTATTGTGGCTAGCTGGTCTAGTGGCTAACGCGACGGGCTGGAGTTTTGAGACTCTCTGACCGCGGGTTCAATCCCAGCTGGGGTATGGTTTGTTTGCAATCGTGTCATTATGATTTCATGAGTCAAGATATGATGTAGGGCGAAATGACAGTAGTTTGTTGGATTATGTATTGGTAGATAAAAGACTGTTGAGTAGACTTCAGGATGTACATGTTTATAGAGGGGCCACAGATATATCAGATCACTTTCTAGTTGTAGCTACACTGAGAGTAAAAGGTAGATGGGATACAAGGAGAATAGAAGCATCAGGGAAGAGAGAGGTGAAGGTTCATAAACTAAAAGAGGAGGCAGTTAGGGTAAGATATAAACAGCTATTGGAGGATAGATGGGCTAATGAGAGCATAGGCAATGGGGTCGAAGAGGTATGGGGTAGGTTTAAAAATGTAGTGTTAGAGTGTTCAGCAGAAGTTTGTGGTTACAGGAAAGTGGGTGCGGGAGGGAAGAGGAGCGATTGGTGGAATGATGATGTAAAGAGAGTAGTAAGGGAGAAAAAATTAGCATATGAGAAGTTTTTACAAAGTAGAAGTGATGCAAGGAGAGAAGAGTATATGGAGAAAAAGAGAGAGGTTAAGAGAGTGGTGAAGCAATGTAAAAAGAGAGCAAATGAGAGAGTGGGTGAGATGTTATCAACAAATTTTGTTGAAAATAAGAAAAAGTTTTGGAGTGAGATTAACAAGTTAAGGAAGCCTAGAGAACAAATGGATTTGTCATTTAAAAATAGGAGAGGAGAGTTATTAAATGGAGAGTTAGAAGTATTGGGAAGATGGAGGGAATATTTTGAGGAATTGTTAAATGTTGATGAAGATAGGGAAGATAGGGTTTTGACAGCAAAAGGGTTAAGAGTAAATAAATCACATCACGCATCCACTACACACCAACTGGTGGGTCAAATGTGCGTTCATGAATGCAATGATCTTATTTATGCAATTATTGCAATACTGCATAACAGTAAATCTTCAATTTTTTTGGTGACTAAAAATTCCTTCTGTGAATAAAAAATCAAAATAGAATTCATATGTAAAACCTGGAAACATAACTGATGAACAAAGGAAATGTTATTTTAGTGTCAGGAACGCCTGCATTTTTTATTCTGGACCCTAATTTGTAAATTGAATATATGTATTTAAATTTGCGTGAAATTGGCCAAATTACCAATTTGTGATCATTTTAATGGGTAGTTGAAATAGTTGTTTGGGTGGTTTCTTGTGCTCAACTGATAAAATAAGAGGCATACTAGCGAAATCGTTTAAGAATTTGGTCAACTGGAACAATGTAATTGGCTTAAAATAGGGCTCAAAGTGGCATACTAGTGAAATCGTTTAAGAATTTGGTCAACTGGAACAATGTAATTGGCTTAAAATAGGGCTCAAAGTGGGCAACATCACCAATGCGTAAATATCACTGACATAGCAAAATTCATGAAGGCGTAATTTCGTAAATTTTCCATCAAATTTCTGACTTTTTGTTTTATTACCTTCAGAAAAGGATTCTCTACATTTCATAAGAAGAAAAAAAATAATCCCCCCCCCCCCCAATTTTTTTTTTTTTTTAAATTCTTGAACACTTTTCAGATTGGGGATCCAGACCCTCAAGGGGTTAAGCAACTTACCACAACATCTGCTATATTTTTCCCTACAGACCCTACCATATGATTTTTCCAAATCCATTAATGCAATTAAAAGTTTCTTACCTTTATCTAAGTATTGCTCACTTATGTGCTTCATGGTAAACATGGAGTACCCATCCCCTACTCTTGTTCCTCTGTAGTCCTACTCTCTGTCTTAACCTATAACAGCAACATGAAATTACAGAAATAAAATACTTACGGCAACCTTGCTCATCAGAATTATCACTGCAGTCAATTTGATGGTCACATCTTTTTTGTTGATTAATACAAGACCCATCAACAACACATCGGAACTCATCAGGCCTACATTCTGAAGACAAACCCACAAATATAATTACTACATGAATTAATATCTGTGTAATATTAATTAAGGGGTACATCATCTAGAAAATGAGAGTATATCATTTTATTTGTCAATCACTACCTGACTAATCAAAAAATGGAAAAATCACAAAGAGAATGTTAACTTAAGAAATCAATTTTTCCCTGAGGAGTGCCACATATACAGAATATTGGTACAAATATGTAACAAATAGGTGATAAATAGTATTTGTAATTTCCTGAGTATTAGCAGATATGTTGAAATATATTCTTAAATATGTATACGTATTTCATTGGGATTTGTCTAATTGTATTGTGTGTTTCAGTTATGATAATAAGAGAATTTTGAAAAACAGAAAAAAATTCTAAACTATCACCTGTATCAGAATAAATTAACCTTTATTTCAACAAACTGGCCGTATCCGGTGGGATACGGCCAGTTTTAAATTTAGGTTACTAAATGAAAGCTTTTCTTTTTAAATTTAGCAATTTATAAAGGAGAAAGGGTTATTAGTCACTTGCTCTCTAAATAAAACTTTTTCAAGATATTTTATTAAAGTCTGTAAGAATAGAAGATACAATAAACCTTCATTTAACACACATTTTCACCAATAAACCTTTATTTAACACACATTTTCATCAGGATAAGTCAGAGTAACACATAAAGTAAACTAATATATACCCCAAACGGGTATATATTTACTACACCAAGTCTGAAACTACAATGTTTGTAAATCATCCTAATTTTGAAAAATTCTGAGAAAAAGTAATCAATTCTATTTTAATTTCAAAAGTACCATTAAGATATGAATGAAATTCTATATTTAAGATAACCTGGTAGAATTTACATGAACTGCAAATTGTCAGCAAAATTGGTTGGTAACTTGAAAGGGAAGGCTAGGCTGATTATCTACCCACCTCTGAAAATTCTGTCACAATACCTTTTCTGGCAAAAGTACAACTCCTCATGATTAATTATCTTACTGAGTTTCTAATGACAGAAAACAACATTCACAGTATTATGAGCAAACTGTTGCTGGTTTACCTCTTAGAATCCCTGAATGTTAAAAGGAGTCATCTTTATCACTATTTTGCAACCTAACAAGAGAGCATGAACGTTCACTGAATAATTTACATACCACTTTATATGGAATATGTCAAAATAATGCAGATAGAACAATTAACAACTCAAAAATTTTTAATTTTAAACCTGAAAGAACCTTGCCTTTAAAGTTCTCCTTGCTCCTGATAATGTTCAAATTAATATTCCTGAGATGTTGAGTTATAACCCAAATGTGCAGACTGTAGTATTTTTACTATTCCATATGACCTCATTAACCCTTTCAGGGCTTCCGAAGTACTAGTACGGCTTATGCACCAGGGTTATTGATGTACTAGAACGCCTAAATTCAAGCACCTTCATATCTAGTGAGAGGAAAGCTGGTAGGCCTACATATGAAAGAATGGGTCTATGTGGTCAGTGTGCGCAGTATAAAAAAATCCTGCAGCACACAGTGCATAATGAGAAAAAAACTTGGACTGTGTTTTTGGATTAAAACAGCGACTTTGCACTGTATTTTCGTATGGTATTTATGGTTGTATTCTAGTTTTCCTGGTCTCAATTTACAGAATGAAAGACATATTATAGAAATTGAGATGATTTTGACTGGTTTCACAAAGAAAATTACCTTGAAATTGAGCTCAAAATAGCAGAAATGTTCGATTTTTACCAAAGTTCAAAAGTAAGCAAATCATGTGAAGTGTCCAATATATGTCAACTGATGAGTCTAATATTCTTTCACAAGTTTGCTGATATGATTTATGTCATTTCTACATTGATGCAGTAGCCTGCATAACAGTAAATCTTCTATTTTTTGTGAGAATAAAAATTCAAAGTGGAAAGCAAAAGAAATGTAAGAGGGGCCTGGGGACGTGACTAACGAGCAGAGAACTTGTTATTTTAGTGCCAGGAATGTCTGTCTTGTTTATTCTGGACCCTATTTGGAAATTGGCATCTTCTGAAATTTGTGTGAAATTGGCAAAATTGCCAATTTCTAACCACTTTATTGGATAGTTAATATTAGTAAATGGGTGGTATCTTGCATTCATTCGATAGAAAAAATGAAGTTCTAGCAAAATAAATATGAGTTTTGTTGACTAGTACACAGGAATTAGCCGAAAATAGGGCTCAAAGTGGGCAAAATCGCCGATGCATAAACATCGTCGAGACCGCTACTTCACGAGAGCATAATTCCAAAAGTTTTCCATCAAATTTCATACTTTTGGTATCATTATGATCGGGAAAAGATTTTCTATCATTTCATAAGAAAAAAAAAATTTTCCAAAAAATTTTCGACCCTGAGAACGAGTTTAGGAGAGGGCCTCTCGACCCTGAAAGAGTTAATACAACCCCTTTATCAGGGAGCCATAAGGAACTTTAAGTGAACTACACAGAAAAAGACCCTTGAAAAGCTCAAAGTAATGGAGAAAAATACCAAAAGTCTGTATAGATAACACACTATTAGTTCAAATTAAACATGATAAAGAAATTTCCATATATGATAAATAACAGTTGCTTGTGCAAGAGGTCAAATACTGCTAATAACTGATTTTAAGTACACAATAAGTAACTTCGTGCCTTTAGGGCCTCACTAATCAAGGTGGCTTTGATTAACAGTGCTCAGACATAAGGGGCAGTTTTCATTGATTAACAATGTTTAGATGTAAGTGGCAGTTTCTCTTTATCAGAAACACTAGGACTCTCCAGGCCAATATTTATCCAGAGATAAATATGTGGAATTGGCTTTGCATACATTTCAGATCCAAAGATCTTATTTCAACTAACCAGAGCACCTTTTGAAGGACAGTACACAAAGTCTGGGTCCTCACAACAACAGGAGCCTAGAGCCTGCCTCCAAGATTGCCAAGGGTTCACCCAGCATGGCCTAAAGATTACATAATTTACAATCATAGCACAGGTCATGAACTATCTTTGTGTGGGAGACTATCAGACCACTAATTGGCTAAGAGGGTCTTTAAAGATCCACTGACTTTCTCAAGAAATCAAGAGTGCCTAATGTTATAGCTCATGGTTAATATTATAGCTCATGGCTAATATTATAGCTCTAAGAGAAACTGTCTCCACTGTCATGCCTTGATCCTCTCAAGAGTGCTTTGCATCATAGACTTGTTACTAGTAGTTTAATGTCTCATCTGGGAAGTAGTGGAAAAAGTGGTTGACACATTCCCAGAGTATACTTCCTATATTTTCCTGTAGTACAAAATGAAAAATTTTGTTTAATTCCAAACTTGGAGGAAATCAACACTCTCTTGACAAAAACAGTGCTCAAAATAAAGTCCATGGCCAGGATATACTTGTCCCTAATTCAACTGAGTAGGGGCACTTCATATATCTGTACAAACTATTTCAATATATGTCCCCATTCAATGAAACTTTTGCTAATACTATATTTCTAATTCCAACTGCAGAAGGTTCGAGCTATTAGTTCTTGGCAAGACTCTCTAGCTTTAAAACAGTTAAATAGATTTTCACTATTTTTTCACGAGGGTGCTGATATCAGAGCATATGTGCCTTATAAATGTTAGTCAGATCAACATGCAAAATTTATATCAAAATATTTCTAGACTTCCTTAGATATTAGCCACCTCAGTGAGTCTAACAGATTTGTGTTAACTTTGTATCAGGTTGTCACCTAAACAAAGAGTTCACTGTGTGAAAAACATCAAACCACAGAGAAAAGTAACAACATATAAATAACTTTTCAAACTACACAGGAATTGGTACTATATTTACAACATACTGTAATTTCCAACATAAAAGGCACACAAGCATACAAGATGCACACTAATTATGACAGGCATATTCTGGGAAAAATACAAAAATGCAGTGCTTGCTTCAAAGTGATAGCAAGCCAGTGGCTGGCTGCTTATGTGTACAGTGTAGTGGAAAGAAGTGGGACCTTGCATAGTGTGTCATCAGCTCCACCAGCAACAAAATAAACTTGGCTACCTGGTGTTTACAGACAGCTACTTTACAATTATTTACAACTGCTGAAGCTGAGTTGCTTATTACATACTGGTAATACGAAAATTATAATTTATAATAGTCTCTAATCACTCTAAAGTAATTTGAGAAACAGTTTTGTAAAGTGGGTGTTGGAGTTTGGTTTATCAGCACCGTAGCACTGGAACCATTACTTACCAATAACCCAAAGCCTATCATTGTTCCTGACCTTGAACATATAAGGTGCAGGCTGATTTTCTTAGACTATTTTCTGAGGAAAACAGCATGCCTGACTTGGCAGAAAATACGGTGAATAATATATCAGTACAATAAATATTAAGTGCATCACGCACCATCATTTAAAACAGAGAGCATTACAAATTACCAGAAATTAAACTACAGTACACTGCATGTAACAATGACAAAATTATAATCTAATCATAGTACAGGAAACATAAAACAACTCTTCATGTGCCGAGCAGACAAAAGACAATTATGTAACATCATATAGTCCAGTATTGAAAAAATTACCCAAATTACAGAAATTAATTCAAATAGGCTCACCAACACACAATATTTAGACATAAAAAACACTGAGCAGCATCATCAGTATATTACTATATAAACTTTTCACTCACTGCATCCCTCTTCATCTGACTGATCAAATGGGCATTCAACAATACCGTTGCATCTGTACTGTTGGTCAATGTACTGCCCACTCTCACACTCGAACTCGTAAGAACCTGTTTTAAACAGATCAAATTTTGCTTTATAGCAATTTCTCATTTTCAGAGTGCTCCAGTCCTTCTCAGCATGTGCATAACAATAGACATATCAAGTACATCAAAAACTAAATGTGTCAAGATAATAAACAGCATGTACTCAGTACCACACCATAAAATTTATTATAGTATATACATAAATATTTTTTTCTTTTCAACAAGTTGGCCATCTCCTACCAAGGCAGGGTGACCCAAAAAGCAAGAAAATCCCCAAAAAGAAAATACTTTCATCATTATTCAACACTTTCACCTCACTCATACATAATCACTGTTTTTGCAGAGGCACCCAGATATAACAGTTTAGAAGCATATATAGATATAACATATCCCTCCAAACTGCCAATATCCCAAACCCCTCCTTTAAAGTGAAGGCATTGTACCTCCCATTGCCAGTACTCAAGTCCAGCTATATAAAAACAACCAGTTTCCCTGAATCCATTCACACATCCTGCTCACACTCCAACAACTCATCAGGTCCCAAAAACCATTCAACTCCATTCACTCCTATCTAACATGCTCACGCACGCTTGCTGGAAGTCCAAGCCCCCCCACAAAACCTCCTTTACCCCCTCCCTCCAACCTTTACAAGGACGACCCCTGCCTCGCCTTCCTTCCCTTACAGATTTATACACTCCAAGTCATTCTACTTTGATCCCATCTCTCTAAATGACCAACTCAACAACTCCTCTTCAGCAATATGACTAATACTTTTATTAACTCCACACCTTCTAATTTCCACACTCCGAATACTCTGTATAATATTTACACCACACATTGCCCTTAGAAAAGGACATCTCCACTGCCTCCAATCACCTCCTCAATTCAGCATTTATAACCCAAGCTTCACACCCATGTAAGAGTGTTGGTACCACTATACTTACATACATTCCATTCTTTGCCTCCATAGTTAGCATTTTTTTGTCTCCACATATACCTCAACGCACCAGTGGAGTTACCTGGAGAGAGTTCCAGGGGTCAACGCCCATGCGGCCCGGTCTGTGACCAGGCCTCATGGTGGATCAGGGCCTGATCAACCAGGCTGTTACTGCTGGCTGCAAGTAATTCAACATATGAGCCACAGCCCGGCTGGTCAGGAACCGACTTTAGGTGCTTGTCCAGTGCCTGCTTGAAGACAGCCAGGGGTCTATTGGTAATCCCCCTTATGTATGCTGAGAGGCAGTTGAACAGTCTTTTGCCCCTGACACTTATTGTGTTGTCTCTTAGCGTGCTAGTGACACCCCTGCTTTTCACTGGGGCGATGTTGTATCATCAGCCGAGTCTTTTGTTTTCGTAGAGAGTGATTTTCATGTGCAAGTTTGGTATTAGTCCCTCTAGGATTTTCCAGGTGTATATAATCATGTATCTCCTGCCTGCCTTCCAGGGAGTACAGGTTCAGGAACTTCAAGCGTTCCCAGTAATTGAGGTGTTTTATCTCAGTTATGAGATATTTGCCTGGCCTCAGGCAAAGCATACCATCCAACAAGCCAACTGCAGCTCACCTTAGTTCCTTCATCAATTCTATGATTAACCTCATCCTTCATAAACCCATCAACTGACATGTCAACTCCCAAATACTATCTAAAAAAATTCACTTCTTCCATACTCCTCCTCCCCAATTAGATATCCAATTTTTCTTTATCTAAATCATTTGATACCCTCATCACCTTACTCTTTTCTATGTTCACTTTCAACTTTCTACCTTAACACACACTTCCAAATTCGTCCACTAACCTTTGCAATTTTTCTTTAGAATCTCCCATAAGCACGGTATCATCAGCAAAAAGTAACTGTGTCACTTCCCATTTTGTATTTAATTCCCCATAATTTAATCCCACACCCTCTCCCAAACACCCTAGCATTAACTTCTTTTACAACAACATCTATAAATATATTAAACAACCATGGTGACATTACATATCCCTGTCTAAGGCCTACTTTTACCGGGAAGTAGACTCCCTCTCTTCTACGCACCCTAACCTGAGCCTCACTATCCTCATAAAAACTCTTTACAGCATTTAGTAACTTACCACCTATTCCATATACTTGCAATATCTGCCACATTGCTCTCCTATCCACTCCATCATATGCCTTTTCTAAATCCATAAATGCAATAAAAACTTCCCTACCTTTATCTAAATACTGTCTACATATATGCGTCAATGTAAACACTTGATCTACACATCCCCTACCCACTCTAAAACCTCCTTGCTCATCCGCAATTCTACATTCTGTCTTACCTCTAATTCTTTCAATAATAACTCGACCGTACACTTTTCCTGGTATACTAAGTCAACTTATTCCTCTATAATTTTTACAATCTCTTTTGTCTAGCTTCCCTTTATATAAAGGGACTATACACGCTCTCCACCAATCCCTAGGTACCTTCCCCTCTTTCATACATTTATTATTATTATTTTTTTATTATCACACTGACCGATTCCCACCAAGGCAGGGTGGCCCGAAAAAGAAAAACTTTCACCATCATTCACTCCATTACTGTCTTGCCAGAAGGGTGCTTTACACTACAGTTTTTAAACTGCAACATTAGCACCCCTCCTTCCCATCTCCAGGACTCAAGTCCGGCCTGCCGGTTTCCCTGAACCCCTTCATAAATGTTACTTTGCTCACACTCCAACAGCAACCCTTCCTCAGCCCTCTGGACAACAGTTTTGGTAATCCCGCACCTCCTCCTAACTTCCAAACTACAAATTCTCTGCATTATATTCACACCACACATTGCCCTCAGACATGACATCTCCACTGCCTCCAGCCTTCTCCTCGCTGCAACATTCATCACCCATGCTTCACACCCATATAAGAGCGTTGGTAAAACTATACTCTCATACATTCCCCTTTTTGCCTCTAAGGACAAAGTTCTTTGTCTCCACAGACTCCTAAGTGCACCACTCACCCTTTTCCCCTCACCAATTCTATGATTCACCTCATCTTTCATAGACCCATCCGCTGACACGTCCACTCCCAAATATCTGAATACATTCACCTCCTCCATACTCTCTCCCTCCAATCTGATATCCAATCTTTCATCACCTAATCTTTTTGTTATCTTCATAACTTTACTCTTTACTGTATTCACTTTTAATTTTCTTCTTTTGCACACCCTACCAAATTCATCCACCAATCTCTGCAACTTCTCTTCAGAATCTCCCAAGAGCACAGTGTCATCAGCAAAGAACAACTGTGACAACTCCCACTTTGTGTGATTCTTTATCTTTTAGCTCCACACCTCTTGCCAAGACCCTCGCATTTACTTCTCTTACAACCCCATCTATAAATATATTAAACAACCACGGTGACATCACACATCCTTGTCTAAGGCCTACTTTTAGTGAAAAATAATTTCCCTCTTTCCTACATACTCTAACTTGAGCCTCACTATCCTCGTAAAAACTCCTCACTGCTTTCAGTAACCTACCTCCTACACCATACACCTACAACATCTGCCACATTGCCCCCTATCCACCCTGTCATACGCCTTTTCCAAATCCATAAATGCCACAAAGACCTCTTTAGCCTTATCTAAATACTGTTCACTTATATGTTTCACTGTAAATACCTGGTCCACACAAAAATACCAACCACTCCAACACTGTGTGTCCCCCTGCTTTTAACATTTCTGTCATGATCCTGTCAGTTCCAGCTGCTTTACCCCCTTTCATTCTACATAATGCCTCATGCACCTCCCCCACACTCACATCTTACTCTTCTTCACTCCTAAAAGAAGGTATACCTCCCTGGCCAGTGCATGAAATACTGCCTCCCTTTCTTCGTCGACATTTAAAAGTTCCTCAAAATATTCTCGCCATCTACCCAATACCTCCATCTCCCCATCTACTAACTCCCTTATTCTGCTTTTAACTGACAAATTCATTCGTTCCCTAGGCTTTCTTAACTTGTTTAACTCACTCCAAAATTTTTTCTTATTTTCATTAAAATTTCTTGACAGTGCCTCTCCCACTCTATCATCCACTCTCTTTTGCACTCTCTCATCACTCTCTTCACCTTTCTTTTACTCTCCATATATTCTACTCTTCTTATAACACTTCTGCTTTGTAAATACCTCTCATAAGCTACCTTTTTCTCTTTTATCACACCCTTTACTTCATCATTCCACCAATCACTCCTCTTTCCTCCTGCACCCACCCTCCTATAACCACAAACTTCTGCACCACATTCTAATACTGCATTTTTAAAACTATTCCAACCCTCTTCAACCCCCCCACTACTCATACTTGAACCAGCCCACCTTTCTGCCAATAGTTGCTTATATCTCACCCGAACTTCCTCCTTCCTTAGTTTATACACTTTCACCTCCCTCTTACTTGTTGCCATTTTCCTCTTATCCCATCTACCTCTTACTCTAACTGCAGCTACAACTAGATAATGATCTGATATATCAGTTGCCCCCCTATAAACGTGTACATCCTGAAACCTACCCATCAACCTTTCATCCACCAATACATAATCTAACAAACTACTTTCATTACATGCTATATCATACCTTGTATATTTATTTATCTTCTTTTTCATAAAATATGTATTACTTATTACCAAACCTCTTTCTACACATAGCTCAATTAAAGGCTCCCCATTTTCATTTACCCCTGGTACCCCAAATTTACCTACTACTCCTTCCACAACATTTTTACCCACTTTAGCATTAAAACCACCAGCCACAAGTACTCTCACACTTGGTTCAAAACTCCCCACGCATTCACTCAACATTTCCCAAAATCTCTCTCTCTCCTCTATAACTATATACATACATACATACACACTCCTGTGTGTTTTCGTCGATTTTCTTATTAGTTCCTGTTCTGGTTTATTTCTTCTTATCTCCACAGGAAAATACAACAGAATTCTTCCTCCGTAAGCCATGCATGTCATAAGAGGCAGCTAAAATGCCGGGAACAAAGGGCTAGTAACCCTTTCTCCTGTGTGCATTACTAAAGTTAAAGAGAGAAACTTTTGTTTTTCTTTTTGAGCCACCCTACCTTGGCGGGATATGGCCAGTTTGTTGAAAAAAGACAGAAGAAGAGTATAAAAAATGGATGCTGGTGCTGAGTCCAGTGGACCCTTGGGTAACGAAAAAATCGGATAGCAACACATTTTTGCATCAAAATATTGGCTCGGTTACCGAAAAAGAACTCTGTTAAGGGCATTCGTCCCGAACGTGTCCATGCAGCCTGAGCCGCCCGGCCACTCCATGTATCTATGTACAGCCAGCGTGCCATTGTTTACAAGCCAGGGAAGACAATTCCATGCGTACATGTGATATATTTTGTATTATTCCATTGTTTTTAGTGCTTGTAACTGTTAAATAAGCCACCATGGGCCCAAAGAAAGCTTCTAGTGCCAGCCCTGTGATAAAGAAGGGGAAAAAACACAATAGAATTCAAGAAAAAACTTGTAGCAAAATATCAAAGTGGAAGAAGAGAGAGGGGAGAATGTGCCTTCTGCAATGATTCAGTGATTCTACGTTATGTATGACACTAAAGCAGCAGGTATCAATAAAGGCTATAGTGCCAGCCAGCAATAAAGTGTAGAATTAACAGTGTAGCAAGTAAGTTAAGCGAGTAAGCGATAGAAAAACGACATAAAAGTAACTCTCAAATGTTGTTGGATGTGTATAGGGCCAATGAACATACGCCGCCCTGCTATCTTCCACCACCCTAAACCTCTGCCACATCATCTCCATCAAACTAAGTAATTAAACTAACATCTCCTCCAAGGTAAAAGTAAATATAAAAGTGTAAGGCGGGGTAGGGGTCGGCCTAGGAAGGGTTGGAGGGAGGGGGTAAAGGAGGTTTTGTGTGCGAGGGGCTTGGACTTCCAGCAGGCATGCGTGAGCGTGTTTGATAGGAGTGAATGGAGACAAATGGTTTTTAATACTTGACGTGCTGTTGGAGTGTGAGCAAAGTAACATTTATGAAGGGATTCAGGGAAACCGGCAGGCCGGACTTGAGTCCTGGAGATGGGAAGTACAGTGCCTGCACTCTGAAGGAGGGGTGTTAATGTTGCAGTTTAAAAACTGTAGTGTAAAGCACCCTTCTGGCAAGACAGTGATGGAGTGAATGATGGTGAAAGTTTTTCTTTTTCGGGCCACCCTGCCTTGGTGGGAATCGGCCGGTGTGATAATAAAAAAAAAAAAAAAATATCTATATTTAACCCTTACACTGTCCAAATGTAGATCTACGTTTGCACGCGTAGCGCTCTAAACGTAGATCAACATTTTATTTTTCATTCCTTCAAATTTGGCATGATAGGCTTAAGTAGCCTAGACATGAAAGAATGGGACTGTGCACTCAGTGTGTGCACTATTAAAAAAATCTGGGAGCACTTAGTATCTTGTGGGAGCACCAGTTTAACTGAGTGCCAGCTAGTGCAAATAGCATGGCAAACACCAGGGATTCACTGATGCCATGTAGCATTAACACTCCCATTTTAAGAGGAAAGTAAAAATAGGTTAGATAAATACATGAGTGAGTGTGGGTGGGTGTGAGCTGGACCTGACTAGCTTGTGCTAATAGGTCTGATGTTATGCTCCTTCCTTCAATGAATGTGACCTGACTAGGTGGGTCATTGGTCTAAGCCAGGGGGGGGGGGGGTGACATGTACCTGCCTTGCATGGGCCAGTAGGCCTTCTGCAGTGTTCCTTCTTTCTTATGTTCTTATGTATTCGGCAGACTGGCCCGCTGGCTTGCTTTGGCTGTCTCTCTGTTTATATCTCTATCTGTCTATATCTCTATCTGTCTATATCTCTGTCTATCTATATCTCTGTCTATCTATATCTCTGTCTCTCTATATCTCTGTCTCACATATACACATAAGTACAGTTATTATACATAGTGTAAATTACCTAGGATAATCTAAAAATTCCAGGCAAAGATAGACAGACAGACAGACAGATAGATAGACAGATAGACAGATAGATAGATAGATAGATAGACAGAGACAGACAGACAGATAGACAGAAACATGTTTGTGTGTATCAGTGAAAACAAATAAAGCCAGGGTTCCCCCAAGAACTCATTTATCAAATGTCACCGATCTGATAACAGATGTCATAACACGATTCTTCAAGGAGTGTGATATACAGTGGACCCCCGGTTTACGATATTATTTCATTCCAGAAGTATGTTCAGGTGCCAGTACTGACCGAATTCATTCCCATAAGGAATATTGTGAATTAGATTAGTCAATTTCAGACCCCCAAACATACACATACAAACGCACTTACATAATTGGTCGCATTGGGAGCTGATCGTAAACCGGGGGTCCACTGTACATATACTCCAGGCAGACAGAAAGACAAAGCAGAAACAGACAGACAGGCAGGACCAGGGGTCCACTGTACATATACTCTACGCAGACAGAAAGACAAAGCAGAAACAGACAGACAGGCAGGACCGGGGGTCCACTGTACATATACTCCAGGCAGACAGAAAGACAAAGCAGAAACAGACAGACAGGCAGGCAGACAGAGACAGATAGACAGGCAGACAGATAGACAGGCAGACAGATAGACAGGCAGACAGATAGACAGGCAGACAGATAGACAGGCAGACAGATAGACAGGCAGACAGATAGACAGACAGACAGAGAAATAGACAGAGAGACAAGACGTGTTAGTGTGTAACAGTGATAACAAATGCAGTGAGGGTTTGCTGGAGCAGCGGGCATTTATCAAATGTCACTGGGCTGTCAACAGTATAGGGATGCCTTTCATAACATGATTCAAGGTATATGCCGGGGTATCTAAAACATTGCTGGGACCTATATATTTCTAGACAATAGTAAATAACCCAGGCAGGGGTGTAAATGTTCACCTGTCAATGTGATTGTAACAATTTGAGCACTATTTCAGTACCTAATATTAGTGTCAGAACAAAGATTGGCTATGAAATTACAAGAACTATTATAAATTGTAATTATCAGAACATAAAAAATATATAAATTAAAATAAAAAGAGAAAAAAAGGTATATCGGCAACACTTCTGCAAGCGGAAGGAGTCAATGTTGCTGACAGGTGAACATCCAGAGCCAAATTCACGGTCTTATATCTCGGTAAGTACTGACCCTAATTTTTTTTTTAATCCTATAACATGTAGAAAAATGTGCTCTACTTTTTAAAAGAAAAAAACGATTTTTTTATTTTTCAAAATATTCGGAGCACCACATGAGTGAACATAGATCTACGTTTGGGCAGTTTAATGGTTAATCTTTAAAAAAAAATTATTTTTTGTTAATACTTTTGAGTGTCTAAAATGGATTAATTGGATTTCCAGTATTTCTTAAGGGGAAAATTAGTTTGGATAATGAAAAAATCGGTTAAAGACAAGCTCTCCGGAACGGATTAATGTCGTTACCCAAGGGTCCACTGTATAGCAAGTGTTGGTGGGTGGGGTGAGTGAAGGTATCAGGTGAAGGTTAGCACACTGCAACTTCCCCCAACCCCCCAAGTCCCTGACCCCCACTTAATCCTCTCACCCCATCTGCTCAAACCCTCCTGCCTAACATCCTAACCCCTCCTTTATAATTCCCAGACAGTTGCAATGAGTAGGACAACCAACCTATAAGACACCTCTGACTGCTAGCAGAGATGTGGATGTGAGATCCTTGACTAATGCACATCACCACATTAAACTACCTATGAAAGACTCCATTAACTTTTTAGGGGTATATAATTAATGTAACCCTAATTTTTCCCCACGTTCTTCAGTTCACTTTACGTGCATTTTTTATTACACCCTATTTATAAGACAGTAACTACTTTGTTATCCTATGGTCAACCATATATCAGAAGTGTATAATAACTAGCTATGACAAACATGCTGTATATTATTGAAAAAAGATGAAAACCTTACTGTAATTGACGAGAAAATACAATTGCTCTGTTTACACAGACACTTACGACAGCCACGTTCATCTTCTCCTCGGGAACATTCCTCTACTCCATTGCAGCGTAGACGGAGATCCACACATTGTCCATCATCACATCGGAATTGGTCAGAGCTGCATACTATTGCTGTAGAACATCATGGCATATTAAAATAATTTAAAAATAATTCAGAATGGTGACAGCCATAAACACCACAGTAAATAACATAATTTAAACTACAGTTAAGCAGTCAACATCAAAATACAAAATTAAATGTGATACCAAATTAATCACCCAAAGGCAATAAAAACTTATATCCGTTACCATCTCCTAATTCATGATATAACCACTTATAAAAAAAAAATCCTAAAAAAAAAAAACTATGAAAGTAACTGCAATATTTATCAAATCTTGCACTCAAGAGATACAAAACATCCAGCATAATGTTATATATATATATATATATATATATATATATATATATATATATATATATATATATATATATATATAATATATATATATATATATATATATCTATATATATATATATATTTTTTTTTCAACAAGTCGGTCGTCTCCCACCGAGGCAGGGTGACCCAAAAAAGGAAGAAAATCCCCAAAAAGAAAATACTTTCATCATCATTCAACACTTTCACCTCACTCACACATAATCATTGTTTTTGCAGAGGTGCTCAGAATACAACAGTTTATATATTATATATATATATATATTTTTTTTTTCAACAAGTCGGCCATCTCCCACCGAGGCAGGGTGACCCAAAAAAGAAAGAAAATCCCCAAAAAGAAAATACTTTCATCATCATTCAACACTTTCACCTCACTCACACATAATCATTGTTTTTGCAGAGGTGCTCAGAACACAACAGTTTAGAAGCATATATTTATAAAGAGAGACAACATATCCCTCCAAACTGCCAATATCCCAAACCCCTCCTTTAAAGTGCAGGCATTGTACTTCTCATTTCCAGAACTCAAGTCTGGCAATATAAAAATAACCGGTTTCCCTGAATCCTTTCAATAAATATTACCCTGCTCACACTCCAACAGCTCCTCAGGTCCCAAAAACCATTCGCCTCCATTCACTCCTATCTAACACGCTCACGCACACTTGCTGGAAGTCCAAGCCCCTCGCCCACAAAACCTCCTTTACCCCCCTCTCCAACCCTTTAGAGGGGACAACCGTTACCCCGCCTTCCTTCCCCTATAGATTTATATGCTTTCCACGTCATTCTACTTTGATCCATTCTCTCAACAACCCCTCTTCAGCCCTCTGATAATACTTTTATTAACTCCACACCTTCTCCTAATTTCCACACTTCGAATTCTCTGCATAATATTTACACCAAACATTGCCCTTAGACTGGAAATCTCCACTGCCTCCTCACTGCAGCATTTACAACCCAAGCTTCACACCCATATAAGTGTTGGTACCACTACACTTTCATACATTCTCTTCTTTGCTTCCAATGATAACGTTATTTTGTCTCCACATATACCTCAATGCACCACTCACCTTATTTCCTTTATCAATTCTATGGTTAACCTCGTCCTTCATAAAGCCATCCACTGACACATCAACTCCCAAATATCTGAAAACATTCAGTTCTTCCATACTCCTTCTCTCCAATAAGACAACCAATTTTTCTTTACCTTAATCGTTTGATACCCTCGTCACCTAACTCTTACCTATGTTCACTTTCAACTTTCTACCTTTACACACCCTCCCAAACTCGTCCACTAACCTTTGCAACTTTTCTTTAGAATCATCCATAAGCACAGTATCATCAGCAAAAAGTAACTGTGTGAAATACCATTTTGTATTTGATTCCCCATAAAGTAATCCCACAAAGCAGAAGTGTTATAAGAAGAGCAGGATATATAGAGAGTAAAAGAAAGGTGAAGAGAGTGGTGAGAGAGTACAAAAGGAGAGCAGATGATAGGGTGGGAGAGAGACTGTCAAGAAATTTTTATGAAAAGAAAAATTTTTGGAGATAAATAAGTTAAGAAAGCGATGGGAACAAATGGATTTGTCAGTTAAAAACAGAGTAGGGGTGTTAGCAGATGGGGAGATGGAGCTATTGGGTAGATAGCGAGAATATTTTGAGGAACTTTTAAATGTTGACGAAGAAAGGGAGGCGGTAATTTCATGCACTGGCCAGGGAGGTATACCATCTTTCAGGAGTGAAAAAGAGCAGGATGTGAGTGTGGGGGAGGAGCGTGAGGAATTACGTAGAATGAAAGGGGGTAAAGCAGCTAGAACTGACGGGATCATGGCAGAAATGTTAAAAGCAGGGAGGGGGGGGTATCGTGTTAGAGTGGTTGGTATGTTTGTTTAATAAATGTATGAAAGAGGGGAAGGTACCTAGGCATTGGCAGAGAGCATGTATAGTCCCTGTATATAAAGGGAAGAGGGACAAAAGAGATTGTAAAAATTATAGAGGAATAAGTTTACTGAGTATACCAAGAAAAGTGTATGGTATGGTTATAATTGAAAGAATTAGAGGTAAGACAGAATGTAGGATTGCAGATGAGCAAGGAGGTTTTAGAGTGGGTAGGGGATGTGTAGATCAAGTGTTTGCATTGAAGCATATATGTGAACAGTATTTAGATAAATGTAGGGAAGTTTTTATTGCATTTATAGATTTAGAAAAGGCATATGTTAGAGTGGATAGGGGAGCAATGTGGCAGATGTTGCAAGTACAGTGGACCCCCGGTTAACGATATTTTTTCACTCCAGAAGTATGTTCAGGTGCCAGTACTGACCGAATTTGTTCCCATAAGGAATATTGTGAAGTAGATTAGTCCATTTCAGACCCCCAAACATACACGTACAAACGCACTTACATAAATACACTTACATAATTGGTCGCATTCGGAGGTGATCGTTATGCGGGGGTCCACTGTATATGGAATTGGTGGTAAGTTACTAAATGCTGTAAAGAGTTTTTATGAGGATAGTGAGGCTCAGGTTATGGTGTGTAGAAAAGAGACTACTTCCCGGTAAAAGTAGGTCTTAGAAAGGGAAGAGTAACGTCACCATGGTTTTTTAATATACGGATTTATACGGTTATTTTCATATAGTCGGACTTGAGTCCTGGAAATGGGAAGTACAATGCCTGCACTTTGAAGGAGGGGTTTGGGATATTGGCAGTTTGGAGGGATATGTTGTGTATCTTTATACATATATGCTTCTAAACTGTTGTATTCTGAGCACCTCTGCAAAAACAGTGATAATGTGTGAGTGTGGTGAAAGTGTTGAATGATGAAAGTATTTTCTTTTTGGGGATTTTCTTTCTTTTTTTGGGTCACCCTGCCTCGGTGGGAGATGGCCGACTTGTTGAAAAAAAAAAAAAAAAAAAATATAGATGAGGTTGTAAAAGAAGTAAATGCTAGGGTGTTTGGGAGAGGGGTGAGATTAAATTATGAGGAATCAAATACAAAATGGAAATTGACACAGTTACTTTTTGCTGATGACACTGTGCTTATGGGAGATTCTAAAGAAAAATTGCAAAGGTTAGTGGAAGAGTTTGGGAGTGTGTGTAAAAGTAGAAAGTTGAAAGCGAATATAGAAAAGAGTAAGGTGATGAGGGTATCAAATGATTTAGATAAAGAAAAATTGGATATCAACTTGGGGAGGAGTATGGAAGAAGTGAATGTTTTCAGATATTTCGGAGTTGACATGTCAGCGGATGGATTTATGAAGCATGAGGTTAATCATAGACTTGATGAAGGAAAAAAGGCGAGTGGTGCGTTGAGGTATATGTGGAGACAAAAAAACGTTATCTATGGAGGCAAAGAAGGGAATGTATGAAAGTATAGTAGTACCAACACTCTTATATGGGTGTGAAGCTTGGGTTGTAAATGCTGCAGCGAGGAGGCGGTTGGAGGCAGTGGAGATGTCCTGTCTAAGTGTAATGTGTGGTGCAAATATTATGCAGAAAATTTGGAGTGTGGAAATTAGGAGAAGGTGTGGAGTTAATAAAAGTATTAGTCAGAGGGCTGAAGAGGGGTTGTTAAGGTGGTTTGGTCATTTAGAGAATGGATCACAGTTGAATGACATGGAAAGCGTATAAATCTGTAAGGGAAGGAAGGCGGGGTAGGGGTCGTCCTTGAAAAGGTTTTAGGGAGGGGGTAAAGGAGGTTTTGTGGGCGAGGGGCTTGGACTTCCAGCAAGCGCATGTGAGCATGTTAGATAGGAGTGAATGGAAATGAATGGTATTTGGGACCTGGCGAGCTGTTGGAGTGTGAGCAGGGTAATATTTAGTCAAGGGATTCAGGGAAACCGGTTATTTTTATATAGCCGGACTTGAGTCCTGGAAATGGGAAGTACAATGCCTGCACTTTAAAGGAGGGGTTTGGGATATTGGCAGTTTGGAGGGATATGTTGTGTATGTTTATACGTATATACTTCTAAACTGTTGTATTCTGAGCACCTCTGCAAAAACAGTGATTATGTGTGAGTGAGGTGAAAGTGCTGAATGATTATGAAAGTATTTTGTTTTTGGTGGGGATTTTCTTTCTTTTTTGGGTCACCCTGCCTCAGTGGCAAAGGCTGACTTGTCAAAAAAAAAAAAAAAAAAACATATACATTTGCAAAACAATAAGATAAGACCTTAAATAGTATATCAAATTCCTATTGTGTTGAATGTAAGAACAGAAGCTTTATAGGAGCCACAAACACTTGCACTTGTTGGGGAAAATTTCTTTAAACATATATATGCTATTTCAATAAACCTATTCAAAAGCTTCTTTGCTTTTTCTGGTAAGAGGAAGAAGGCATTTTTTCAGAGGCATATAAAATCACTATCCAACTTTCTTTAAATTATGGAGAACTTGCAATAATACTGTATATATTTTTCATGTAAATACAGTAGATTCAATATATGGATGTTTGACACACACAAATTCTATGGTATAACATCTTTGCTGTGTGCGCTCATCTTCTGTCAGCTACCTTCTTTCCTTCAAGTTCTCAGGAACAATCTGGAAGGTTTCTTTTTTCATTTATTTATTAATGAATATCATTTATTTCATGTTTGTAATACTGTATGTAGAATTTTCAAAATAACTCTTATTTAAGCCCAGCCATCCTCTCTATTGTAGGTGAACCCAGTCTCTAGCCC